CTAGAGCAGGGATAGCTAGCAGTATTTTCCCTCCTTCCACAGACAAGGCAACATGGTATAAATGAGGAATCAGGAGACTTGGGTTCTAGTTTCAAGTCTGCTACTAATTAGTGATGTGTTGCCTTTCCCTCACTGAGCCTCGTTTTCTCTTTCACAGTTAAAGGGGAGGGCTGGACTGAATGATCTCTGATCCTTTCCTATTCTAAAAATGTCAACCATTCTATCCTTCCTTCCAAGGCCTCAAAAAATATTTTGGTTGCCATTTAAAAAAAAAAGAAAGAAAGAAAGAATGCTCAAAATGTCACATTTATTTTCATAACATGTTCTCACTGCCAGCCTTTAGTATGTGTATGTATGTATAATCCACACAAACTAGCAGGAGCATTCATCTTATATATAATTTACCCAGTAAACATTTAACTTAAAATCAATGGGTCTTGAATCATGTACCAAATATCATCAAGTCTGCTAAACTAAAAACTTTTTAAGAAAATCATGGAAAGATTTCCCAAGAACAAAAGCTTATCAATAAAAGCACACTATTAAACCTCAACACGATGACAGACTTTTAGAGTTGGAGGAGTTCTCAGAGTGTAATCTCAATTTAAAGATGAGGAAATGAAATGACTCAGAGTCCAGGGCTTTTTTTCTACTATACCTCACTTCCTCCTCCCTTTCCTGCTTTATCAAAAGACAGCGTAGTAGCAAAAAGAATGCTAGACTGTGAGACTGACCTGGATTCCAGTCCTCATTGACATTAATTTGCTGTGACACCTTGGACAAGTCATTTCCCCTCTTTAGGCTTTGGTTTTCACAATATTTTATATGAAGAAAGTTAACTGTATGCCCCTTCTACCTGTAACATGCTAGGATCTTATTAAATTCTTATCTGATACAACAAAATACACATTCCTGAAAGAGAAAGTGGAAATTTCTAGTCAAGAGAACCAAAAAGCAGGCTGCTGCTTTTCAACAGATGCATCAGGGGCGCCTGGGTGGCTCAGTCAGTTAAGAGGCCGACTTTGGCTCAGGTCATGATCTCACGGTCCGTGAGTTCAAGCCCCGCGTCGGGCTCTGTGCTGACAGCTCAGAGCCCGGAGCCTGTTTCAGATTCTGTGTCTCCCTCTCTCTGACCCTCCCCCGTTCATGCTCTCTCTCTGTCTCAAAACAAATAAACGTTAAAAAAAAAATTTTTTTTAAATAAACAGATGCATCAGTTCAATTTAGCAAGCTGGTCCTAAAGCAATTTACTCCAGAATCTCTTGGAAGAAGATATCCCTGCCCCACCCCCGCCTCTAGACAGACAGACAGACACACAATGTGAGGCAGCTATGATATACTGCAAAAAAAAAAAAAAAAAAAAAATACTGGACTAGGAGTCTGAAGAACTGGCTTCAAATCCTAGCTGTCACTTACAAAGCTGTGTGTCTCATAGGTCAATTCATTAACCTCTCTGAAGCCTAAGGTTCCTCATATATAAAAACGGAGAGAACAAGGAAATCTGAGCTAAAATATTACTCAAAAGAAAGCTTTACAAATGTGGTGCATATTGCAAAGCTGGGCAAGCGGAGATGATCTGCCACTGTGGAAAAGTAGGCTGGACTAGAATGAAGTCTGTCTATTAAAAAGCAGGGCTGATTTTTAACTTACTAAATTTGCTTTCCAAGACTAGGACAACAAAGTTGAAGATACCACTGGAGGGGAACAGAAGAAATAAATCAATTTTAGGAAACGGACTGTGTATTTGGATTCTGATTAACAAAACATATGAGATAACTCTCGACTGCCTAATCAGTTCACTAAATTTCACGAAATGGTCTGTGTACTGTGGCACACCCAACAGCAAGGAACATTTCTTAGTTTGCAAACTCAGTCTGTTAACCTCTTAGAGTTTGCACGGTGTGCCACTCCAATTCCTATCAAGGGACAGAAGGCATTTCTGATAACCAGATATCCAGTGACACCATCTGTTTCCACAAATCAAGATTTCTCACTGCATTTCTAGGTTGTTAGTTACCCGGCCAAATCTCTTCACAGTACGTTATGCAAAAGACAAAACCTGTCACAAAGGATAGAGGAAATGTTAATGATGCCAACCTTTTTCAGTCCTCCCAGTACTGCTAGTTCTTTTCAGATTCAATTCTCCAGATGAGTCTAATTCTCTTCCAAATTTCCCCCACGAATACAGAATGAAACCGTGAAATTCACAGACTGACACCATAGTTTTATCCATACAGCTCAACACGTTGAATATTTGGACAGGTTATAGAGTCAAAATTAGAAGGGTGGATCCCAAAAGACGTTTTTACTTTTCACCTACTACAGAAGGATCAAAGTGCTTGAGAAGCTCTATTATCCCAAGAGGCAAGAAGTGATTCTATTAATTCTATCAAGATGACTCACTGGGTTCAAATAAGTTAAATAGCTCCAAGTTCTGCATACTTCCTCCCAAAGTAAGCACCGTGTGAAGTTAAATTTGTTAACTCCAAGAAAGGAAGGAGAAGGGAATGGACATTTGAGTTCTTCCTCTGTGCCAGGGACTAAGCTAGATAATATACACTCCTGATATAACTGTCCTTCAAAATTAAATGAATGTTTCGTTCATTGAAAAGAAACAATACTCACATATTTCTAAATTGATTACAATCATATACATAGATTGTTATTTCCTCCCCCCACTCCACACACATTCAAAAGGTCTGCCATTTAACCTAAATCAACAGTTCCTTACTTTGAGGGGAAAAGCACAAAAACAGAATTTTGAGGGTATCCAATGTATTTGGAAATCCAAAAGTATTTTCAATCCTCCACTGTCTAGCGATGAGCCTGTTTCAGATACTGAACTTGAAGGAGACTCCGTGCCATCTCAAGATTGGCCGCTGCCACCCAAAAATCTTTTAATAGTGATAGGAAGGTTGGTGGAAACACATCTGCGACCTACCAATGAACATTTCTGATTTTCGTGCTGTAACTCTTTGGGTATATATCATATATAATATATATTAGGCTTTCGAATGTCTTCTAGAAAGTACAAATAACTTGATTTGCAGCAAACATGGCATTTCTTCCATGGGGGTAAGCTTGAGAATTGAAGGCAGATCAACGCCTGTAACCATACAGCGTCTACTTACACTAACATACGAAGTTCACCAATTCTCAAGTTCTTACAGCACGAAAATATATTTCCCTGCCTCTACTTCCACACAAGCCCGCGGAAGAGTTCGGCGAAATAGCTTTAAATCCCGTTTCAACTTTGAGAAGAGGAGGAGTGGGTAAGAACAAGTCCCAGGCAAGCGGAGCATTCCAACTACTGCACTTCCTTACTCAGAATCTCCCATACTAATCATCACTAAAACATCTTGCAGAATTAGATAAATAACACAAAGCTGTGGCTCTCCTTCCAACCACCAGATTACTCAGCACTTGTTTGTATCTCTGTAGCCGGTTGTGTACAATTGCGTCCGGCTCCCCTTTTAAGACAGCGTTCTCCCGAATGGGAAGGACCTCGTCTTCGATTTCCTTTGCCTCGCCGTAAGGTGCTATTTTAATAAAACACTGTTGATCTAGAGTACATCAGCTAGAGGACTCCCCGAAGTAAATACCCAGCCTTCCCCCCGCTCCTTCTCTTTCTGGGCAACGAAAAGAGGACGGCGAACAGTTACGGCCACCTCTGAAACGAACAGGCAAGTTAGCGGCACCAGAAAAAAACAAACGAGAAATGCAATTTCTCCTTTAATCTGTGGTCCCCAAGGCCAAAACGGATGTTTCAAAGGTAAAGCGCGGAACCCCACCAATACAGATCGCCGGCTCTCGGGCACGTAAACTGTCCCACCTCGAAGAAAGCCGGACGAGACGAGAAAGGGTCTCCGTAGCCCCAGGGACCGCTCGCCCAGGGAATGGAGGGGGTTTGGCCGAGGTGGGCGATTCCCCCTCCCCCGAGTCCCTCTGAAGTGCCCGAGCGAGACACCGAGGAGCAGCGGTGGCGGACACAGCGGGACCCGGGAGGGGTGCGGTGGGGAGGCACGGGGGAAGCCGGGGGACTGGAGCGCCCGGCTTCTGGGCCGTAGCTCCAGTGACTTACCCCACAGGGTCGCCGCCCCCTAGGTGCACATCTTCGGGGGCATCAAAGAATTCCTCGGTGTCGCTTTCCGACGCCATTTATAGGACACACCCGCGGGTGAGGGGGCCGACGCCGCCTGGAGGGAGGGTGACTTTCGTCTCCTCCTCGTCGTCCTCCACCCCGGCGAGACCGTGGGGAGGTGGGTCCCGGGCGAGGACAGGGACGGAGCGGACTATCTAGAGTGAGGAGCCGGTGAGGGGCAAGGGGCCGCCGTCAGCTGCCGGGCTGCGAGGATGACCGGCCGAGCGGCAGCCTGAGTAGGCGGCGGTGGGTCCAGGGACTGTTGCTGCCGCCGCTCCCGGCGATAGGTGTACAAGGAGAGCGAGAGAAGAGGCGGTGGCTCTCTGTGGGGGAGGGCGGGCTCGCCGACGACAGCAGCTCCAATTTCTCCCGCAGCAGCAATTACAGCAGCTGGGAGAGCCAGTTGCCCGCAAAATACGGACGCGCACCTAACCTCGCGAGATTTCGGGAGGGGCCGGTGAAAGCGTGGGCGTGGCGAAGAGAAGGCGGGGGCGGTTCCAGAGCGGCGGCGCTCAGATTTCTTCCACCCGAGAGGCCTATCAGAACGGCGCAAGCGCGTTGAGCGCGTTCGGCGAGGGCCGGAAGTAGCGGAGGGGGGCGGAGAAGAGCCTCCTGAAGGGAGGAGCCGAGAACCTGCGCAGGGGCGGCGTGGTGCCTCGGTTCTGAGGGAGAGCGCCCGACGTGGGTGGGGTCGTACAGATCGACTCGTCCCCTAACTCGGCAGATGCAAAGACGGGCATCTTCAGAGGGGTGGTGTAG